TAATTAATGAGGGATACAAAATTTTACTCTTTCTCTCTACAAGACTTCTCTTTTGCTAATTGTTAAATAATTATTTCCAAAAAATTACTACGCAAATACACAAACTTTTCAATTGAACAAATATTAATTATCGTTGCATCGAACGCGCTATCAAATATTTTTTAGCCACTGTCTACAGGGTGTTCTGCTTAACTGGAATGTCTGAAATATCTTGCTTATTCCTGGCGATAGAAAACAATTATTTAAAGGGGCAAACATTGTAGTTTGACTTTTCGAAATTTCAAGGGTCATCGTTTATCTTAAACGAGACTATACAGAGTGTCCTTGAAAGATATGTACACAAACGGCCACTAGATGATTCCTCGAAAAAGATATGAAAAAAATGCAGAACAACATAATTTTCATATTTTTGCATTTTTTTTATGAGGATCACCTGGCGCTTAAAACATATCTTTCGAGGACACCCTGTATATTTTTATCACCATAACATGATACTATGATTCACAATAAGTTCATCGATGATAACATCTAGATAACAGCTCCTCTTTATTTTCTTCCTTTTGTTGATTCATAACATTGTTAATCATATTGTTAATCATTCCCCTATCGTCATCTTCATCTTTCATTAAGTTTAAGAACTATCAGAGATGAGAAAAATTGTTGATTTTATAGAATTTTCATATCTTCCTCAAATTTTTCCCCAAATTGTAATTTGTTGTATACAATGTTTTTGTGCACTGTTTTTCTTCTTCTATTTTAGTCGATGCAACTTTAAACAGTATTTAGACAGAGCCAACGACTCAGACTTAATTAATAACGCTAATAAAATGTTTACTGTATATAATTTTAATAATTTTGTAAATATATATATTGCAGGGTATTTAGAAGATGCCAAACGTAACCAACCGCGTTCTTTTGCAAGTCCAAGATTTAGGGCAGAAACTACAATAGAAGCATTATGTGTACGTATGGTTCTTCCTCTGAAACGCACGATTCACAACCGACGAGGGAGAGCAGCTTAATTATCGAGTTGGTCGAGATATTAAATTATTTTTAAAAACCGCGATGGCGAAATAGTATCGACACACTTGTTTAGGGAAGTTTTATCGGGCATGTATTTTTACTTTAGCAACAACAAACAAGAAAAATTGTTGCCACGTTAGTTGAGATAAATCTTGCTTCGGAAGATAGTATAAAAATCGAACTGCGTACGAAAGTTTTGATAAAACAAGTTTATCGAATTTTATTATGCTTTTATTTATTTAACAATTATATATATACTTGTGAAATTAAAATTTCTCTGTCAACAATTGAAAAGAATTTGTTAAGTTGGCCCTCCTGGGATTGTTTAATTTAAAAAGTTGATGTTTTTGTTGATTTGCAAGAAAAGTGCTTCCAACAGTTTCTTTAAACTGATTGCAAGTAAAATTTCTATTTACGAAATGATCTTTGTAATACTTTTTAATGAATTAAATTTCAATTTTGTAATAAATTTTTTAATTTAAATTATTTATTATTTATTTATTTATTTAATTTATTTATGCAATACATGCACACTCATGTTCGTATATTTTATACAAATCATTATATAAGTGTACTATTTATAATATAAATGGCGTGTTTGTTTACATTAATGTGTAACTATAGAAGGAATTGTTTGTTGTTGCTTTGAATACTCGAATACAGCGCACGATGTTATCGTTTCTCGGGTTAGCGTTATCGATAGGTCGAACGCGTCGATATTAAAGATAAGTTAAAAGTCAGAAAAACAGGATTAGTTTTTATGCCGGTTTCTCTTTTTAGAATTAGTTGGCGTTTGTTCCCGATACAGATACGTGTGAAACTCAGTTTATCGTTCGAACGTTTCAACTCGAACTACTGTTCGATATAAATTTTTACCAATGTCGAGCTCTTTATAAGATTCGTGTGTTTTTTTACTGAATTTATCTGCAGAAAAATTGTTTCCTCGGAAATATAACCATAAGATAAAATTAACGAAGATCAGAAAACTAAAAAATACAAGAATTATTAGAAAAAAGAAAATAAAAAATATAAGAGACGCAAAGAGTTTGCAAGAAATGGTGTGTCTGTCAAGTTTGCTGGGCCCATAACCTTTGTTGCTTAGAATCGTCTCACCTACCCCCCATTTCCGGTTCATACACTATTTACGGGACACCCTGTAGAATTCGACAATAAACGACGCGTATACTTTTCAGGTTATATTTTTAACATTGCACGAATCGTTGCATACATGGTACTGCTCTTCAACTGTTATTCTCAAACAAAAGATGGCGTGCATGTTTGCCAACATGGAAAAGAGAAATATTTCCACACGTGCACGTTCACCAACGTGAGAATGAGAAACATTTCCAACAAAGTTATAAGAGTCAGAAGAAAACGTTAGAAAATAATTTTTGTTTTATACAAGATTTTATTTTTGAGTCGATTTTGTTTTAAACGAACGGAAATTGTTGCAAGAGCTACCTTTTTCATATAGCGGGTCAAACATAACAAATACAAGTCTTGTGATATAAATTATAGCTCAAATATGACAAGAACTAAACAATAATGCAATTTTAAAGCAATGTGATAATCCATAAGGATTAATAGTCAACCTTTCCGAGTTAAAAAACTTCGTTTTTCTGCGCCAAAAAATTTTTCAAGCGACATCGGGTTTGAATTTCGATTAGATTTTTTAATGAATTTACTAATAAATTACGTAAATATTTCTGTTGTCGTTTTACAAAATGTTTTATGTTTTTAATATTATCGATTACAACTTTTCGACCGGAAGTCAATTTTGGTAGCCCTGAATGAAAATTGTGTTCATTAAGCTTTAGAGTCTTTGTAATTAAAAGATAATGCAAAAGGGGAGAAATTATAGGAAACGAAAAAAAGTATGAAAAGCAGAGAAGAAAATTATAGAGATAATAAATATTGTCGCGAATTGTGATTAATAACGATTTATAGAGAGTATGTACAATATTCTTAAATTTATTGTAATTCGTTAACTAGTTTATGGCGTTCGTAACAATTATGGACGTTATATTTCCATATCGAATGACTTTTTTCTGTCGCGAGAGAATTTTTCACGTACCACCGCACACAACGCGAGCTTATTTCTCGATCCATTAGGCTAATAGTCGCGATTCACGTAATTGCGAGCCGTAATCTAAATTCTGTTTAATTTAAATCAAGCTTCGTGAGATTCGGGTCAGACAAATAATTAGCAGCATGTCCCGGAAAGCTTTAAATTACAATTTACTATATTTAAGACATGATTACGATCACATGATTTCGAAAACATCTTAAGCAATGTTAAAACTTCCGTTACAAATTATTAGATTCTCCGCAAATTGTTTAGTTTTACCTCGAACAACGATTAAAGGTGTCGCTGTTGTCAGCATATTTCGAAGATCGTAAGCTTGTTAATTTAACCTAGATATAAGTATCAAAATAAGCACTAATAACCTCAGCAACACGAACACATCGAGACTGATTAGGTTAAGTAGTATAAGATATATACGTAAGTGCAATTAAAATGTACATTTTATGTATCAACCAAAGGGGCACATAAGTCTAAGAGAGGCTTAGCTGTCGTTAATAAAAAAAATTGATTTTTTCAAAGTGTGAGGTTAGAAATGCCCCCTTAAGGTAAACAGTGCCCTAATAAGATAAGAAAATGGCTACATACATATTTGGATTGCACCAAATTATTAGGTTCTCCACATATTAGTTAATTGTATCCTGTTTAGTTTTACTTTGAACAAAGATTAAAAGGTGTCGCTGTTGTCAGCATATTTTGAAGTAAGCTATTAGAAAATGGAAAAAATTGATTTTTTCAAAGTGTGAGGTTAGAAATGCCCCCTTAAGGTAAACAGTGCCCTAATAAGATAAGAAAATGGCTACGTACATATTTGGATTGCACCAAATTATTAGGTTCTCCACATATTAGTTAATTGTATCCTGTTTAGTTTTACTTTGAACAAAGATTAAAAGGCGTCGCTGTTGTCAGCATATTTTGAAGTAAGCTATTAGAAAATGGAAAAAATTGATTTTTTCAAAGTGTGAGGTTAGAAATGTCCCCTTAAGGTAAACAGTGCCCCAATGAGGCAAGAAAAAGGGGCTACATATTTGAATCGGGCCAAATTATTAGGTTTTCCACGTTAATTATATCTTGTTCTTGAGAAATATAGTTTTGCTTATAAATCGATAACCAATATTTTTCGAATATACTAAATTCGTCGTTTTTCAAAGTTAATTACGCCGTTTCGTAAAACGATTCGGGAATACTCTGTACACGTGATGTATAAGTTAAATGAACGTTTGGAAGACATTTGTTAACGCTAAATTCAGATTTCATACTCGTAAATATTATCTGTTAGCAATTTACATTTAAATAATAGAACATTAGACCTCGACGGCGGCCATTTTTATATTTATAACGTTCAAGTTTCTATTCGTTATTCGTAGCGTCGAATGCCATTTAAAATTATTAATAAATTTCATTCGCGATATCTTCTAGAATTTTGCAAGTAATTCGTGCGATCCGTATTAATTACGTAACCCTGTAAATGGCAAGTTTTAATAAAAATATTTGCAATAAATCTAACATTAAACGTGCACTAGATTTCTTAATAATTGAAACACATAATTTTGTTTATCACTTTCCATATATAGCAATAGTAATAATTCTTTACTTAGCGAGTTGTAAACATTGACAAAAATAATTTATAAACAATTCTATATTAATCCATTACATTACATATACATATACATATACATATACATATACATATACATATACATATACATACATATAATGTAATGTAATGGATTAATACAGAATTGTTTTAAAAAGATGAGAAGAGAGATCCAGTTGCTCAGAAAATGTATTATTTTTTCAAAAATTGGCCTGTGTACCAATCAGATTATACAGAGCCAATATAAAGGAAACAATATTGTATAAATATCTGTAAACATCGACGTCTAAAACTTACCGGTTCGAGTTTCTACCGAGGGAAGGCCTCTTCTTGGTATTCTGCGTTGTTCCATCGCTCGCCAATGGAACCAAAATGGAGGAAATCCACCCCCACCTCCCCGGTCTCAAAAAACGATTCTCTTTTTCTTTAATCACGACGCTCTACCGTTTTCATTTCTTCATTCCCCATTGTCAGTCTTTGAACGTGTTACACTCCCGTTCGAATCTCGATCAAGATCGAAACAATTCGATTCACATTGTAGAAACGATTATTCGCACAAAATTCTCTACCCCGACCGTCACATGTTACGATCAATCGAAATGCACAAACGAGCCTTTGCTTCGCGTCACCATCGCGTCGGCTGCACAATTTGACATCGCGAATGTTCTTCGTGGATCGAACGGTGCAAAATCGGAGGGATCAGCGATCGAACATTTTAAATACGAAACGTTACGAGCAACCGATACCGATCGAAAGGGTTAGATTGTCGGAGGCGGAGCGAAGAATCCAGCACCGAGGGCTAAGGGGGCCAAAGACGATGAATCGAAGGAACAGAGAGGAGAGGAAAGTTAAGCCGGAAGAGGAAACCGGCCCGCTAGGATAATTCGAAGAGAGTCCTCTATCTTGTACGGGCGCTTACTCGAAACTAAAGACCGACTAAAGACTGCATTCGAGAACTCCCTCGCATTACCGTACACAGGGAAACGCGGTCACGCACACGCGTCTACTGGTGTCTCGTGGAACGCTCACGCATTTTCGAACGTTGGCCAAGGATTTACGCGGGAGACGAGAGCATGGTTCATCATTGCTAAGGCTCGACCTACGCTATCGGAAAGCAAGAAGCGACGGTTCTCCGTAATCTCGTTGCTTTTTTAGTCGACTTAAGGGTAAAGCCTCCTCTTGCGCTTTAATCTCCGACACGTGCCAACCGACAGTCCTCACTACTCTTCACCTTCGTTTCAATATTATCACTATCGCGACGACGGATGTGGCGAAAATTTTATTCGCCGAGATACGAATACGAATTTTTTTTAAATTTTGTCGATAGATCCTACTTTATAAACTGATACGCAAATTTAAATGTCGCTTATGGTAAAATTTTATTCATTGATGGGAATACGAATTTTTAATTTTGATTTTGGTACTATTACATTGATATCAGATTTTAAAAAATTTGTCGATAGATTCTAATTTATAAATTGATACATCAAAGATGGCAAAATTTTATTCACCAATAAAAATACAAATTTTTAATTTTGATTTTGCTAATATTACCTGCATATCAATTTAAAAAATTTGTCAATAGATTATAATATACAAATTAATTAACAAATTGAAATATCGCAGATGGTAAAATTTTATTCACCGCGATACGAATACAAATTTTTAACTTTGATTTTGGTACTTTTACATTGATATCAGATTTTTAAAAATTTGTTGATGGATTCTAATTTATAAATTGATACGCAAATTTAAATGTGGCATAAAATTGTATTCATCGTTAGGAATACAAATTTTTTATTTTGATTTTGGTACTTTTACATTGATATCAGATTTTAAAAAATTTGTCGCTAGATTCTAATTTATAAATTGATACATCGAAGATGGCAAAATTTTATTCACCAATAAAAATACAAATTTTTAATTTTGATTTTGCTAATATTACCTGCATATCAATTTAAAAAATTTGTCAATAGATTATAATATACAAATTAATTAACAAATTGAAATATCGCAGATGGTAAAATTTTATTCACCGCGATACGAATACAAATTTTTAACTTTGATTTTGGTACTTTTACATTGATATCAGATTTTTAAAAATTTGTTGATGGATTCTAATTTATAAATTGATACGCAAATTTAAATGTGGCATAAAATTTTATTCATCGTTAGGAATACAAATTTTTTATTTTGATTTTGGTACTTTTACATTGATATCAGATTTTAAAAAATTTGTCGATAGATTCTAATTTATAAATTGATACATCGAAAATGGCAAAATTTTATTCACCAATAAAAATACAAATTTTTAATTTTGATTTTGCTTATTTTACCTGCATATCAATTTAAAAAATTTGTCAATAGATTATAATATACAAATTAATTTACAAATTTCAATGTCGTAGATGGTAAAATTTTATTTATCGATAGGAATACAAATTTTTAATTTTGACTTTTAAACTTTTTTTTATCGATTTTAATTTACAAATTTAAATGTCGCAGATGGTAAAGTTTCATTCATCGACAGAAATACAAATTTTTAACTTTGATTTTGCTAATTTTACCTCGATATGAATTTAAAAAATTTGGAAATAGATTCCAATTAACGAAATTAATTTACAAATTGATACGTAAAGAGAAATTAATTTTCGAATGGGAGTTTATCATTTTAATTCATTATTATAAAATTTTCCGAACTCTATACACCGTCGAATGGATCCTGAAGATTTCTAATCTTTAACTAAAAATGCTTATTGAATATCGTTATTGATCTTTTTGTTTTAGAAAACATAGAGAAAACCAAACAATTTTTCTTTTATACCAAGTTTTTTTTCAGCCATTTTTTTTTTGTATATATTATGATTATTTGGCAGATACCGCTCTTCTACACAGATCTTTGCAATTCTGTACGATAAAAGAATCTTAAAAGTTCGGGGCACAGTAGTAGCAATCTAATTAAATAAATATGCTTAAACTGTCTCTCGTATCTTTTAAAACCTCACTACCGGTGGAATTGCATAGACTTTGTATGCAAACACGATAACCGTCTCAAACGGCGTTCGATAAAATTACATCTGAACTAAATGCGTACTCGGTGAATTTTCAAAATTGATACAACCCTAAAAACGAAGCTTCGTATGAAAAAAAAACATTAATTTACGATAAATAACACACAAACTCTGTTACACGATTCGTTTTAGAATAAAAAAAGAAATAAATTTATCAATTTATCAATTAAAACCTTGCTTGTAATAAGCGTATTCTACTACCATTTTATATACGTTCCAAAAAATGATGGAGGAACTAATATATTATATTTCATGCTCAAAATTTCAGTACTTGTTTTCTCTAAATCGAATGCTTACATTTATAGCTAGACAACGAATTTTTATGCATTTACTCGAAATTTAAATTTTCAAAAATGTACAGAATGCATTTAATATGCAAATATATGAGAAATACTTAAAGATCCCATTTCATTACATCTATTAATAAAAATATAAATTTAATAAGATCAAAGAAAAAAGCTATTAGTCAGAGAAATAAAATTCGCCGTACAGTTTATTTTTAAAAATAATTCGTCTGATACAGTATTATTCTTCTTTAAGAATAAATTTAACGTTTTTGGTAACGATGGACGTGGAAATGTTTGTAGGAATGAAAACTGTGGGAATTTGGGGATTCAAATGAGCAAAACTCGACTTCCTCTCAGTAATACGAGGCTTACAGACATAAGACACACGTTACAGAAAATAGTAAGTCAAAAGAACGCTAGGTGGCGCAGAAACAAATGGCGCTATACTTCTAACAATCGGTATTAGTTTGGAACTGGATATGACGAAGCGAGAAATCTTGAGATCGTTACTGGGATAATGGACAAAACAAACTAATTAAAGTTTCATAGGACAGGACAGTGTATGAAAGTTGAATTTATGAAGTAATTATTGGTTTCAGACGGACAACGATCCGAAGCATACAGTTACTAACCTAACTTATGTAAACTGAACACATCACTTGTTATTTCTATCATACAAAAGGCATCAGTTTAACATAGATATTTCATTAATTGAATATTACAAAACATTTAGTATCGTAAAACATGCATATAGAAATAAGTCTGCTGTCCATTACATTATCAACAAAATTAAATAAGCAAGGTTGATAATAAGCCCCGTTCTGGGCATCCAGAGTAGCTAAGAGGAAAAAAAGAAATGGCAATTATATGATAAATCAAACGAGATCCGAAGCATAGGATCAAACAAAACAAAGAATGGATAGTGTATAATGTTCCACACATCTTGTCACATCCACCACAAAATCTCAACTCAATCCTTATGGAACATTTATGGGACGAAGTAGGCAGACGATTAAAAAATACAATGTGCCGACTTTTCATTAAAACTTTCAATTATTTAATTTAAATAACTATTAAATATTTTGTTCAAATACTTCTGTGAGCCATTTCTGATAAGTATTTACAATGAATACGTATATTGTAAAAACGGTATATATTGTTGAATTATTTACTTCTTTTATTTAAATACTCTTAGGACTCATTCCTTGTTACATGTATCATATTTGATCAAATGCTTCAGTTCAACATAGATATTTAATTGGTCGAATGTTATAAAAATATTAAGCGTTCGAATATGTACTTTCGTGTACGAGTGTATATCAGAAGATTGTGCGAATTACGATTATGGCGTAACGATAATAGGAGAAATTGCGCGTAAACGTTCGTCGACAACACGAGTCGCTGCAATGAAAACAGTTCCCCGGAAGAAAAGTAAAAAGAATGGGCGATACCTTTTGTCGGGGATCGTCTGACGCGCGGCTGAGAGCATACTTCGTTCGGAAAAAAAGAAGCGGCGCTATTCTTGCGACCAGGTGTGAGCCTGTAACGCCAGTGTAAATATACAACACTTATGCTTTTCCGACGAAGCCTCTCCGAAAACTATTAACGTACCCCCCTCCCATAACCTATATCTTTCGGATTTGTCGACCCATTCTTTACTTTCGATCTGGTTTACTTTTTTACCAGAGTAAACTTTAATCCTTTGATAGCATTAAGTGGCACACATTGAAGAACTCGATAGGGTAATCGCGATTCTGCATACTCGACGTTGCAAAAATAGGTGTTTTTCGTAAATTCTTCGTTCTTCCAAGGAAGCTTTCTGTATCTACAAGAATGATAAGTAATGCATTCAAAAGCGAAATTATGACAATGCGTTTATCTTTTAGGAATACAGGTGTATCATGGAAAGTATGATGTTACAGAGTAAAGTATAATAGTGATTAGACAGATACAGAATTATTTTAATAAACCGTGCAAAAGGACAAAAACAAATGAGAATGCAATAACGGAACACACAAGATACAAACAGTCGAAAGTATGCTGCTTGTGCCATGGACGTCACAATGTTGCGTAGAGACTCGTTTTTCAGCGCCCCCTTGATGGGGGTTCACAAAGCATTCCAGTGGCGCCCTGTTTGAACAAAGTAAACTTGTTTGGACATTTAATAAGTGGGTATGTACAGTATGGAGACAAATAGACCACACAAGTGGAATTTTAATTTAAGTATTATTTATGATATATGTAGTATTGTGTACAATATGGCTTTTGACAAAAAATATTGTATTATTGTCATTATTTTCGGATAATCGCGTTTCCGCAAACGCGACGTTGCGAACATAGGTGTTTTCAGTGAATTCTTCGTTCTTCCAAGGAAGCTTTCTATATCTACAAGTATGATAAGTAATGCATTCAAAGGCGAAATTATGACAATGCGTTTATCTTTTAGGAATACAGGTGTAGCATGGAAAGTATGATGTTACAGAGTAAGGTATAATAGTGATTAGACAGATACAGAATTATTTTAATAAACCGTGCAAAAGGACAAAAACAAATGA